AAACTCCTGATACAAATATAAAGGATCCCCTAATTGCCAGCCACCGTGATCATCATCGTCACCATACAATATCTCCGTCTCATCATTAGGGTGGACCCAATTAATGAAGGAATAATGTGAGCTTTCATTCCAAAATGGCTCGATCTCAGAACCTACGGATGCATTATAATGCCACCGTCAATACCATTCATAACAAAAAAAATAATTGCTAAATTAAATCTTCAAAAAACAAATCTTACCACTGCTAACAGGGTCAACACGAAGTGGTCTCGTAACCTGCGAACTCGGGGATGGTGAGCTTGTGTCAGCGTCGAAATCACCCTCTACGTCAGTATCTGACGTGTCACCTAGAGGAATAACACTCGCAGGTTCACCGTCCTCATCGATGTCCATATCGGCATCCTGTTCATCCTCATCTATTTCCCGCAGTGTTATCTGACTTATAACATGTGCAGGTGCAGATAAATCGACTACTCTTTCTTCACGACCAAAATACGATTCACTTCTTGTATGCATGGGTGCAGATGAAGATTGACCACAATCTAATTCAACATATATCTAAATAAAATTTTGAAATTTTCGGTCAACAATTGCATCTATGACACATTCGACATCTTCATCATCACATATATCGTTACCAATGTAGTAAATAGCATCCTTACCAACTGTTGTCTCTACCCTGGCAATCATCCATTGAACGCATTGGCTGCCTTACAGACCCAATTTTTGCTGAATTCTCTCCTTTAACTCATTGTATGTAGTGCCCTGTTTGATTTTCAACATTTTCGTTTTTCCTTCAAATTGAACACCATTGGGGCCTTTATAATGCTTTCCATCATAGTAGATCATTGTCACATACATGTTTGGACTTGTGCTCATCTTCCTCACGAAATTGGGACTAGGGTTCTAAAATTGGGGGTTTGGGTTCGGATTTTGGGGTTTGGAATTGGGCAATGACAATGATTTCACAATATTAGGTCTGTAGAGATGGTGGGATGAAATACAATTAGATTGAGAGGATTACACATGAACAAAGGGAGCTATTTAGGTTTACACAACAACAACAATCGAAATGAGACCGAAAACATGGAAAATATAGGGTTTCAGTCGATATTTAGTCGACTAAATATCGTTACTTAGTCGACTAAATATCCCAAAAATGTAGTTGATTAAGATGCTTTTCTAGTCGACTAAATATGCGGTAGTCCACTTTCTGAAGTTTGACCATTTGCTCGACTAAAAAAACAAGGTAGTCGACTAAAAGGGGCAGGTTGGTGGATAGTTCTGGATCAAGGGCAAATTGGTTATTAATTAATTAATGAGGGGCAAAAGGGCCAAAAAGCCTAACTGAGCATCAATTTGTCATCGTGCTATATTTTGGTCATTTTTTAAAAAAATAATAATAATTTAGCCACGGTTTAACCGTGCCAAAGTTAGTTATAATCGTAGCTAAATCACTGCTACCACACTCAAACATAATGTGGCAAAACTAACCAACAAGTGTGGCAGAAATATTGCAACGCCATTATTAGCCACATTCATGCAAAGTGTGGTTTTTTTAGTTAGCCACATTTTTTGTTTAGTTTAGCAACATTTGTTAATGTGGCTAAATAAAGCTTTTTTGTAGTGTATGCAATTGGGAAGAGTTATTTTATAAATTGTTTGAATCTTCATGGATTGTTTTAGAAGGCTACTTGTTCCGGATGGCCCAACAAGAATCAGGCCCAATGGTTGAGGCCCAGCACCCGCCAAGCATCCACGTCAGCCCTACCTGCTGGGGCGACGCATACCCCCCAACATGGTAACTTCCCAAGGTTAAACACCAAAGTATCCTACCTTAGGACCTCAACTCCCGAAAGCAGTCGCCCAAATACCATAAGAGGAAGTTGTCCCCCTGTAACCCACGCTGATACCACCGGATGCAGAAGGCACAACACTGCTACGATGGCAGCGCCTGTCACGCCCAACACTGCCATCGGTATGAGACCCCAAGGAGAGTTGACCTTCTCCCCACCAACCTTCACACAGTAAGCAGAATCTTCTCTTATAAATAGCCCCCCAGGGGCACACCAGAAGGTATCTTATGTATCGTTATTATGCCCATTTCTATTAAGTCACATATTTAACCATCATTCCTCCATTGTTATTAACTTGTTATACTTGGAATCATTCCATCTGGCCTGGTCTTTACCTAAGCTAGTGGTATCATCCATATAGTGACAACCCCCTCCAAAGGAAACATAGTGGGCTTATAGATTCCGACTATTATGAATTTCTTATGGTGAGGTTGACTCATAGAATTAGTTGATCAATGAAGCATTAAGTATGTTCCTTTCGCGTAGGATTGTCCTTGTCGTAGAAATGGTAAAATGGGTTGACCCACTTTGACCTACCTTCATATTGTCAAAAAAAAGGGAAGGCAAGTTAACTTGTCTTTTAGAAGTGGGTTGAAAATATCAATCCACCCCATTTTATAGCAGGTTAACTAATTTAAATAACTAAAAAAATTTAAAATAAATCTTATTTTATGACTTTAATAAATCTAACCCACTCTTATTCATTTTTACCAATTTAAAGTCTAAATGTATATTAATTCTCAATTTTAATGATCTTTAGGAATTCATTTTTATCTCCACATATGGATAACCTTTGTCATAAATCAAGTGTTTTCTTCTTTAACTTTTGTTGAGGAGAATTGAGATACATATGTAAGATATCACGAAAGTATGACATAACAAATGAAACATTACCTTAGACAACTAAAAAAATGAAAAAATTGATAGGTAAGTTGACTTGCCCCTACTCTCGAGTTGACCCACTTTAACTAACCTTAATACAGGACAAATTATGTTAAGTTAGTGCATTGAAATATTTAACTCAACCCATCAAAATAGACGAATTAAATGGGCTGACCCATAGGTGAGATCCATTTTACCAACCCTATACTTAAAATAAATGATGAGGGATAGTTGATTCTAAAAAGAAAAAAAAGAAAGAGAGAGAAATACTAGCAATACTCTTTTAACAATTCACTCTTTATTATTATTAAGTAAAACCTCATGTTAATCCTGTATATACAAAATAGACTATAGTAGAACTACCATGAGGCTTCACTCAATAAAAGTATTGAAAAGAGAATATCATGAAATATGTCGCTAGCATTTTTCTTGCAAGAAAACATTAATATTTTTCTTATTACACTTTATCATAATTTATTGTATCTTTATTTGGCTTTTCCAATTTTGTCCTCTAATTTTGCCTCATTTCTTAACTTGGCATTTTCATGCAAACATAAGCCAAATTCACGCAAGTGCCTAATGTTAACATTGCAAGATTTTTCTCGAAAAAGTTCGCAAATTAAATGCCAAATATCAATTCTTAGCGCTAGTACATGATGTTAAACTGTGTAGTTTTTTATTTATTTATTTTGTGAGTTGTACCTTGCTGATCCTCCCAAAATTTCAGTTTAGACAAACAAACAAAAAATTATTATCATATGAGGAAGATAATAATGATAGATGCAGAACTTTAGAAAAACCCTATCACAAAAGTTATTTGGTTTTCTTTCCTCCGTATCCAGCTAAATGGATAAAACATGGTAACTTCAGTTGTGCATCCAACATTTGTAATTCCTTTGTATGATCGCTTGAACATGTTTGGTAGCATGTCTTAGTTACATAAAATCGTCGCTATGTTGTGAAATTTAATTTGATTGACAGAACGTACGTTTTGGTCTCAACTAATAAAACTTACTACTTTGATATATCATATATGGAGAGAACACCGGTATGGTATAGTGGTGCTCAAGAATCAAGGAAATCAAAATATTAGAAGGACAACTCCAAGGTCTAGAAGATCACGATGATAGTAAGCTCTGATTCCTATAAATCCAGAAGAGTATTATATTGCATGAGAAATCTAGGTTTTGTTCCTGATAAATTCTAGCAGGTGGATTTATTAATGATAAGATTTTCTGGGAAATGTTGATGACTCACTTGATCTGAATAAGCTTTGGATGATAACTTTGAGGAGAAGCAAGTTATTGTTTCCATTTTACTCTTTGCTCTGACTTTCAATCAACGTTCAACTCAATTTATTTGTCTTAGCAGCTTTGGTTTACTGGGTACACTAATTGGAAAATTTTGACCTTATGGGTCAAGGGTGGGGGCTACATGCATTATTGTTTAAAAAATCACTTTCCACGAAACTCATACTTGAGAGTAAGAGATGAAGGAAATCCTTACATGCAGTTTTACACTTATATTTTTGCACAGAAATTGTTTTATAAATTCGAAATTGTGACCTCTGAGTCACCAAGAAACAACTTTGATTCGGCCATTTTTGTTTGATTTGCCACTTCCTATTGTTAGGTGGGCCAAGGGGAGCCTATGATAAGGAAAAATTATCACAATAGATTAAGTTATATCAACCATAATAAATAAATTTGACACTATGTCTCAACCTTAAAGCGTTAAGTTTATGGGTCATTACTATACATCCTCACTGTCTCCGTTGCTATATAGGATTTTACCACTTAAACTTGAATTCGAGACACCTAGCAGCAGAAAGATGAAGGCATGGAGATAGTTACCTGCGGCCATTTCAAGTGTAATTACGAAGGTATGTTGTAGTCATTAGGAACCTCACACCCCTACTTAACATTCCACAATAGCTATCAAGAAAAGGAGTATTCCTACCATATCAGGCATCAGCCAAAATTTAACAGGAAGGACTAATGCATTGTTCCAGCTATCACAAGGGGGATAAAGAAGAAGGGAGAAGCTGGAGAGAAGGGGAGAAAGGGGTGCATAATGGTTAACAAGAAGTGGAAATTTCAAATAGATCATTAACTTGATTAGTAAGATCTACTTAAGCAGACCATGATAAGAAACAGTTTGTTAGTGGATAATTTCCAATTAAACTAGAGGACTTCACCAAACTTGAACACAATAGAACTCGAGTCACAACCCATCAATTCATTGGAAAAGAATTATATAACCAATCTCCTTTTATATCTCAGATACATACAGTTGATTTGAATTGTAAAGCACAACAGTAACACAACAGATGGCCAAAAAGAAGATAAAAAGAAAGAAAAATCACAATCTTGCATGCAAAATGTCTTTGCTGAACATTTGAAAGAAAGACAAAAGGAAAAAAAAAAAAACAAAAAAAAAAAAAGCACAAAGTAGTTACGATAAATGCACTCCAACGATGTCTTCCCGCAAGGAGAAAGAGCCTTGGATATTTACAAGTACTACACACATCTCATCACCATTCACAACACTATTTTTACCTCCTTTTCTGCTCAGAATAAAATTCAACACATCCAAGAAATCATTTTTTGCCCCACCCAAAGCAGCAACACTGAAGAAACAAGTAGGAGTACAAAGATTAAGCATCAGTATAGTGAAAATTCCAAACTTACAGATCTTGTATCTCAATATTAAACAGGTTTTGCCACCTACCTTGGCTGTGTCATTGCTAGGTTGGTTCCGAATAACACGTGGTCTCTCATTAGGTGTGCCTGGCACTTGTCCAGCCCCACCCTGTCTCTCTTCCCTCACTTTGTTGAAAATGTGAGTATAGCCATCAGCTGATGCAGGGTTGGTCACATCCCACTCTCCGAACTTTGGAACAGCTGCACCTTTATCAGGCTGCAATATCAGAAAGCTAAAATCAGAAAATATTTGTGATAGAAAATTACATAAAGACTCCAAGGTCAAATCCTTAATAATATATATGCAAGTTTTTATTCTTTTCATGCCATGAATGGTAGTTATTAGAAGACGAGCCTTGGAGCAGCAATAAGATTACTCTTTGTAACCGGAAGGTCACACGTTCGAGTTTGGGAAAATGCCTCTTTGCAAAAATGCAAGAGTAAAGTTAGCACACAATTGACCCTCACCCCTACCCTCATATTTCGGGGAACCTTGTGCATCGGGATTTGCCCTTTTGTGAATGATAGTAACAATCTGCTCTTGCTTTTATAATGAGTTTATGGACTGTTAACCCCAACTAATTTGAAATAAAGGTAATGTTAATGTTGATGCATAGTAATAACATAGGACAGCAGAAATGAAAACTAACAGTTTCATCCCCTCGATTAACGGGTCTTAACCGTGATCTTCCCGGTGTACCATGGCTGCTGTCATAAGAATTTTTTCCTTCCAATGAGGGACTATCTCTTCCAGGGGTTCTAGCCTGGCGATGAAGGGGTGAACGTTCAATGCTGTATTCAGATCCGGTACTTTGTCTTGAAGGTCTTCTACGGCTATCATTGGAACCAACTCCATGGCCTCCATGACGAGGTGCAGAATCACTGGCACTCTTGTTGCCTGCATTATCATGACGAGCTGGAGAGTCAATAAAATGCTTAGGATCACCATCTTCCAAGCTCTTACGTAGCTCGTTTGTTGATTGCGCTGATCCTTTGTCAACTATGGGTTTGGAAGAAGGAGCTAGGGAATCAGATAATGAATCATCAGGAACTAAATCTGAATTTTCTTCAGGGTCATTTGGGTTTATTATCTTTATGCCAGTTCGACCTTTCCGGGCCTTGTCAAAATATGCTGTATAAGGAACATCATCTTCACTTTCCCAGTTGCCAAATTTTGGTACATGAGAACGTTGCTGTCAAATTGAAACATTGAAAAGTGCATGTTAAGTAAAGTTTCAATGAAGAGACCCCAGAGTACAAGTTTCAGATACTGATGAATGTCCTATCACAACTCAAAAAAAAGAATTGGAGCTATAAATAACAAATACAACAAGATAAAAAACAAAATAATATTGCCATCATGGCCTCAGTGCCCAGATACAGTAATTGGTTATCTCAGTCCTGTCAAATAACTGCTAAAACTTCTAGAAGCTAGTAGAAATAACACAATCACATGATTATCAAGAGATAAAATCCCCAAGAACCTTTCCATTCCCTAAATTAAAGGGGTCACAGCCTAAAGGATTTCTCCCCAAGTAAGCTATCTCCACTATAAATACAGGGCTAAAAATGGGAACTTCTCCCTCACACACCAGCATTCTAGTTTGCCTCTAATTAAGTGTCGGAGTGCCTTTTGCTACCCCCCAATCTGCTACATAACCAGAACCTCAAAAACACCCTCCATTCATTCTACCTAAGGTCAGGTACACCTCTATGCCTGATTATTGGACAGAACAATATACTAAATTGAAACCACACTATAATATTCAACATATTACAAGTTTATTTCCAAAGAGATTCCACAGATCTTACCCCTAGAAGAATTTACACAAGATTCTTCCCAATTAGACCAACTTATGACAATCTTATAATCCTAATCTATATAATGCATTCTGTGCACAAATACAGTTAATGTAGCTCTCTAGATAAAATCAAAGCCAGTAGGTGCATGTTTGACAAATCGTTGCTAGGCTTGGAATGGGGCAAGAAGGGGTGGATTTTTGCTCAATCCAACCCCACCCTACACCCTTAGGCCATAAACACAAACTTGCCTTGCAAGAAAAATATTAAAACCTGCATGCTGCACCTTACCTAACTCCAACTCACATTTACGCGTATTTTTAAATTAATCACATGACATCCTGTCTCAAATGCCTACTTATTCACAATATGCCCTTTACATCCTTGTTACTGGTATGCTGTTTTAAACCTTTCATGAGGACCTCATAATGCATACCATATAGTACACGGGGCTTTGTTTCACTGCACATGTAAAATGATTGTACTGCTGACAATGAAAGATATAGTATTCCATCAAAGTCAATGTCAGTCTCCAAGAGATTGCAGATAAAAATTGATTTTACTAAAAAGAAGAAAGAAGCAAATGAGGAGCACCTTAACGAAGGCAAAGGGACTAAATTTTCCCAAAGTAAATGAAATATTGAAAGTTTACTCAAAAAATATAGCATTTCTCAAATTAAGCAATGCAAACTAAGCAAACATTGCACAACCCCAACAAAATTGCACCTTTTTACTTCTTTCTCAGCTATTGAAATGAATAGGCAAGGAACTCTCCAATTTCTGTAGACTTAAGAAAAAAAACTACAAACAACCTACGCCAAATGGTCCATGCAACTGAACAAGACAAAAATAGATTAGCATGACATGAGTCACAAACCACAGAAGCTGATGACTTCATACTTCAGCTTCAGGAGATTAAATTTTACTTGGTCTCATTCTTGTAAGCAGCAAAAGATTATTAATAACCTAGATAAATACAGTAAAGTAGATCAATAACTTAGAAAGAACACAGAGAAAGGTCTTTAATTTTCCTAGTCAACCAATTCAATAGCATGGAATGCCCACAGGCATGCTTGACTCTTTGAAGCTATTTATTGATATTGATAGTAGTGGAATGATTAGTATTTAAAACTTGCAATAACTTTGTGATGAATCTATTTTAGAGTAACTCTTGAGTAGGATCCTTTTGGGTTGGTCACTTTTACAGTGTGATCCTTAGCCCCCAAACTATTGACCTTAGCCTCCTCAAAATTCCACACATGTACTCTTTTCCCTCATGCTGTTCTTCTGACTCCATAAAATTCCACATATATACTCTTTTACCCCATGTTGATCTTTAAGAAACTCATCTCCCAAATTTAAATTTATGAACCAAGTTGCAATTAGCCAGTAATGATTAATTACTTCTCCCAATTAAAACTGATCTTTGATACAGTAGTAGAGCTATCTATGGCACAAACAGTAAACTGACATTTTCACCCTTCTTTGCACTTTAGTATCCAACATTCACTGCCATTGAGTATTGCTGGTCGTATGTCAAGTAAAAATTTATCTTACATGTGACAAAACTGTTACTGTTGTAAACTTTGGGAAAAGCACCATTTTGAAGTTTTTGGACAAAAGAATTGCCCGGTTAAAGCTGATTGGATAAGTTTTTCCAAAGTAATGCAGTCAAACATGTCACCTATGCTGACGGGACTAGTCCCGTCACTGATACTGACGGGACTCGTGCCACGTCAGCGCCACGTAGGCAATCCAATTACCGTAAATCTTCGGAAGACCATAACTTGTGACTCGGGTATTCAAATCAGATGATTTTTTTTTTGATTTCACATAATTTTTCGAGATCTACGCAATGATACCTCGTTTGACATATTTTATCTCCCACAAACATAGTTTGAATTTGTAACAATTGTATCACAATCACAAGAGTGTTTATCCATAAGACTATGTTTGTGGGAGATAAAATATATCAAATGAGGCGTCATTGCGTAGATCTTGAAAAGTTATGTGAAATCAAAAAAAAATCATCTGATTTGGATACCCGAATCACAAGTTATGGTCTTCCAAAAATTTACGGTAATTGGACTGCTTACGTGGCGCTGACGTGACACGAGTCCCGTCAGTATCAGTGACGGGACTAGTCCCGTCAGCATAGGTGACATGTTTGACTGCATTACTTCGGAAAAACTTATGCAATCAGCTTTAACCGGGCAATTCTTTTGTCCAAAAACTTTAAAATGGTGTTTAGCCTGTAAACTTTAGTGACTAACACCCATAAACAGTACGAATAGTACATCCTTTATCTCAAACATTGGATTATAGTAAAAGAACAAGCTCATAGTTACAATTCAACTAGATACTTGTTTTTGTTATTATTTGATTCAACTAAAAATTAATAAGTTATTACTCATCCAAACAGATTTTTTTAATTAATTAAATTAACTCGATACTTGATCCATACTTTAGGAAAAAAATAAGTCAGAAATTCATGAAAAAGAAACAAGCCCTTATTTAGTATTCAAAAGGCTAAGCTAAATTGTTAACGCAGCATGATTTATGAAACTAGCTGCTAGAGAGAACCAAGAAAATTCAACATAATAAGATTCTGATTGAATTGCCTCATGTTTCTGAGAAGCAGAAAAATGAAGCTGTTAATGGTTGATTTGGCTGTAGAGAGATAACGAGTTGACCAAAATAAAAATTGAAGTCTAATTATGGTCAACTATATCAAAGTTTTAGATGATGAACAAAAGAGATAACCAGTGAAAGAAAAAAAATGAACTTCCACCTAACATTGCAAAACATAAAACATAATGCAATAGATTGAAACTGAGATTCCCTTTTCCACAATTTTCTCAGCAATCACAGACATATAAAACACAATCAAACCATTGCCAAAAACAAACAAACAAAATTTTATAAAAGAGAAGAAAAAACTCACTGCCATTTCCTTCTAAACCAAGCTAAGAAAAGCAGAATTCTCCCCCAGAAGAAAAAAAAGTCAGCTTTTTGAATCAGACCCAGTAAAGGTAAAAACTCGGAGAACCCAAGAAGCTCCTCCACAGAACTAAAAGACCAGTAACAGAGAGACAGAGAGAGAGAGAGAGAGAGAGAATAAGAGAGAAATAGAAAGAGGTTTATCAACCGTTGACCGGAGCCACCGGTAATGTTTGACCATTATTTTCCTGTGTCTGTAATTTCTATGTTTTCCTTCTAGTTTCAATTTCTAATAATAATGATAAATGAAAAAAAATAAAAATCGGACATGAGATTGTTCCATGCTTCCAAACATTTCACTTCTCATGGAGAGAAGAACTTCTGATTTGGAAGATGTAATATAATATCTACCTTTAATTATATTTTTAACTTAGTAAACTAAAGGAAACAGAGTAAAAAACAATCATCAGTAAAGGCTCATTTTATTTTATTTTTAAATAATAATAATTTAAAGCATATTTAAGAAATTATCTTTAAAAAAATCTAGAAATAAGCTGATATAAACATGCACTTCCTAAAAATCTTAAAAACTTGACATATCACATAACTTTATTGATATTATTAGAGTAAGTTTTATATTTAATTTTAATTTTTTTTTACGTTGACACCCAAAGTTGTTTAACCATAGGCAAATTATCATTATTTGAGTCATCTAATGAGTCTATGAGCTGTATATGGTTTGAGTTTTGCACGGCTGAATGTGACCGTTTTTGGTGGTTGGGTATTTATGGCAAGTGGGTGAATTCACATCGTCATCTTAAAGATGTCATAATATTAAATAAATTATTTAAAATGAAAGATACAAAAAATTGAAAATACGTCTACTGTCCTGTCATATAAAAAGTTGCAATTTTATAGTATGATATTTTTTTTCTTTAGTTTATGTTTTAATTGAACTTATCGTAATATAAATTTAGAAAAATTAAAATTTAATAAATAATTTTTTTTTGAATAAAAAATATTTTTACCAATTCATGCAGTTTGTCACAACAAAATGTGGTGCGTGATTTTTGCTTTTAAATTTTTTCTTTTTTTTTTTGGAGGTTACAAGGAATTGAACACAACACCCTACACTACACACACTCTTAACACACACACCCCACACCACTAGGCTAACCCTAGTGGTGCTTTTTAAATTTTTTCTTTTAAATTTTTTCATGGAATAATAAGATAATCATAACAAAATTATGATTATTTTGTGATGCGTCAACTTTTTTTTAGTTTTTAGTACAACCAAAAACATGATGAAATTTACATCAGGGCCTAATATGAAGTTGCACGAGTCTACATACGAAATCCATTATATAATATGGGGCGGGAATTTTTCGTATCGGTATCAAACCAATTAACGGTTATCAATTAATAGAAATTAATAAGTTTAATTTTCAATAAATAATAATTGTTGATTGACAGAAATCAACGGTTACAATTTGATATCAAATTTTAAAATTTGACATCGGTATCAAAACCCCTCTATATATAAGGCATAACATGATGTATCTCTTTCTTAACTTTTATACAAGGGTGAAAGTGGGTAGGGCCACTCTACAGTAGCCTACGGCCTAGCTTATATAAGGTCAGACTCGGCCTATTATATATGATCAAATAGGATAGGTCCAGACTTTTAAAAAAGTCTATTTTAGAAAGCAGATCATATGCTTTTTTTATATGTCGGGCATATAAGCCTATAGCAATCTATATCATATTATTTATTTTAAATTAAATAAAATAATATTATTCACAATAATACCAAATGGTGATAGTTCTGTTGGTGCATGTGAGCTGAGTAAGTGGTGGAAGGACCTAGGTACGATCCCCCACCAATACTACATTTGGGAGTGGCATAAGATTGTATCAATCTCCACAGTAGCATTAGAATCACCATTTAGTGCTGGAAGAAGAGTTATTGATGTTTGTCGTTCTAGCTTAGCTGAAGATACCATCCAAGATTTGATATACCGTGGAGATTGGCTACGAAATAAGTATGGCTTGAAGAAAAAACAAAAGGCATAAAAAGGTTTTTGGTTTTTAATTTTTTCTTTCTTTCTATTCTTTAATCTTGTTTTTTATTTTCTACATTTACAACTTGTTTCCCAACTTATGTAACCTGGGAATTGTATTTGTATGAGAGAAGATGATGAGAAGTTTTTGGCTACTATCGGCATCATGATGCATTTGTTGAATTCATGCAGTTATTTTGATTTACATAATATGGATTGATTTGTTGAATATGATGAAATATATATTATTTAGTTTGTGCATCTTGGTTATAAAAATGACTTAAATGTAGATTGTGATAAGTTGTTATTGTGATTCATGATTTTGTTTGAATGTTGAAATTGTGATCTTTGTTTTAACAATAAAATTTGAATATTTTATGAAATTGATTCATGTTTTGTTTGGAAATTAAAAAAGAACAGGTTAACGGGTCAGGCCAAACTATTTGTTTTTTTATAAATGGGTCAGATCAAGATAACAGTTAGACTTATACTATATTATCGCTTCAGGTCAAATTAAAATTTTATAACACAAGCTTAGATTTTTTTAGACAAAGCTCAGAGCAAACTCAATCTACTTTCACCCCCTACTTTAAAGTACAATATGTTAATATGTTAGGGTGTTTTACTTATAATCAATTGTGGGACTTTAAAGTACAAAAACATAATTATTGCTTCTTTGTTTCATTTCATCTTATGTTTGCTGAACAATCATAATTTAACCTCTTATTTTAAGTTTTTTCTTTTTTATCTTACCATATGAATAATATTTTTTTAATTTACTTCTTCATAAACTATATAATATTAAAATATATTTAAGTATAGCCAACTCAAATACTATTGAATCATTAAAACATAAAATAGTGCTTAATTTAACTAGTTCGATATCTGGTCCGACTAAAAAACATTGGAATTGTTATAAAAAAAAAAAAAAAAAAACATTGGAATTAAGACATATTTTTCCAATAGTTACGAGATAATTGCATAAATGTTTACCAATTAACTTAATTGACGCCTTCCAATAAATTTAACACTTATAATAGTTACTTTTAAATTTTGAAAAAATAATAATTAAACTCGAATTAAGTACACAATCAAAGGCAGATCTAGGTACAAGAGAAGGGGGTAAGTGCCCACCCTTAAAATATGATGTAGAAATACAAAAATACCCTTATGTTAAAATTTAAGTTTTTTCAATTTAATTTCGGGGTAGAATATTATAACAACCAATTATGATTATTACAAATGTTACTATCAATCAATTTCACCATTAGATCAATTATGTTGATCTAACGATTATATTTATTTTCATTGTTATATGATTATGATTCCTCATATTTAATACTTTATATTTATTTTCACTCTTGTATGGTTATGATTTTCCATATTTAATGCTTTTACATTAAATATTGGGATCATAACCATATAAAGATAAATATAACCGTTGTATCAACATAATCGATCTAACGGTGAAATTGATTGGTAATAACCCTAGTTGGTTGTTATGATATCCTACCTTTTTAATTTCTCTCATATTTTATTTTCTTAGGAGTTTTTTTTCCTCCTCCACCTTCATTATCCAAACCTAACAGCTGAGAGCTCTGTTCCAGACCCATCATTTGCATTTACATATTGATTCATCTCCTCTCAAATCTCAATTTCCGTTATTGGAAGTTGAAATATTTGCTTCTTCCTCCATCATCGGTCTAGTTGAGTCACAGACCCAGCTAGCCGGCAGCTGCTCGCAAGTCGCGTTCCAGACCAGACCTAGATCTATATGTACTTAACTTATTGAATGTCCACTCTTTATTAATTTTCTAGATCGGTCACTGTACACAATTACACACCCTTATAACCTAATCTCAAATCTTACCACGCAAATATTTAAATTCTTATTCGATAGCAAGTATTGTGTTATGCGTAAATGGAAAAAATACGAATCATATTAAATAAGACATCATGGAAGTATATACAGATAAAATAAATAAGTAAATTAAATATAAATATGAAGACGTTAGAGTTAGCGGCGGCTGAATAAAATAAGAAGTTGGAACTTGAAAGAGATGATAATATATGCGGTCGTGCTGTGCGCTTGTCTTGTCGGTGAGCTGGTCACCATTCATTTCTTTTTGTACAAACATCTTAGCATTGACTTTTCAACAGCTTGGTCTTTTTTTCCTGTCATTTTCCCTTGTTAAATGGCAAGCATTGAGCGTTGAAATAAGTTATATTATAAAAGTCAAGGATAAATCTAAAATATTATATTTAAAATATCACACACACATATATATATATATAAATAAAAAAAATTTATATTTAATACATCTTTTCACTTACATTCTCTTACAACTAAATTTTAACTTTTGATTTTCGTCAATCTAACGATTACAATTTATTGAGAATTAATAATTAATTAATAACTGTAACCCAATAAATTATAATCGTCAGATTACGAAAATCAACTGTTAAGATTTGATTGTAAGGGTTGTAAGCGAAAAAAGATTGTAAATATTAGGGATATTCGCGGTCTGGATTGAATCAGTTTTGGAAGTAAAAATCATCTGATCCAATCCCTTCGGTTTGTTTTTTTTTTCAAATCTAATCCGATCCAATCCAATTTTTTTCGGTTTGAATTGGATCGGTTTTCAGTTTTTTGAAAATCCTAAAAAAAATTTCATGATTATTGTATAAATAACATCTTTGTATATAGAGTAAATATCATTTTTGGTCCTCAGCAAATTTCATGATGCCCGCTTTAGTTCCTAACAAATAAAAAGGCTATCCGTGGTCCCTAAGAAATTCAAAATGGACCCATTTAGTTAAAATTGTGGTCCCTCACAAATTCAAAAAAGACCCATATTAGTCCCTCAAAAGGACTAAAATGGGTCTACTTTGAATTTCTTAGGATCACGAATAGCCTTTTTATTTGCTAGGGACTAAAGCGGGTATCGTAAAATTTGCTGAGGACTGAAAATGATATTTAATCTTGTATATATTGACTTTGTAAATTTTTTTTTTTTGAAATACAAAAACATCTTTAAAGGATAATATAGTTTCTTTTTTGCAATGAGATATGAAGCTATACACAGATGAAATTTTGTTT